TGAGTGTAGTAGAATTAGGAGATAAAAAATTGTTTTTAATTGTGCAACATAAAATGAAAAAACAAATTTCAAAATTTCTGTTAAACTTATCATCTAGACCTAAATGACAATGATCAATAGGAATATTTTCAAAAGGTTAGGGATGGTTGATGGAATGAAATCGAGGTTAAGGACAAAAGTGTTCTATGTCAGAAGAGTTGGGGACTATTAAATGCATTTATCCTCATTATTATATTTATTAATTTTATAAATAAAGTTTATTAGTCATTTTTTACTAAGGGATAAGGCAATTTACCAGCTATTCTATCTACTGCCCATTAGTTTTAAATTATACATAAATTTTGTATTGAAGTCTACTTAACTAATTTTTACATGATATCAAAATGGATCAATTAAGGCTTAGCACATTTCTTCAAGCCCCTTTTCTTCTTCCTCTTTATATGTAGGCCTCCTCTTCTCTGTATGGCGGCATGCGAAGCTCTGCCCTAACAAGTCCAGTGGGTTTATCTGCCTTCGAGGACATATGAAGTTCATGTGTCAACCCTTCCCAGTTAAAGTGGGGAATCCCACATTACAAAATAAGAGAAGAATATATGACTTAAATATGATATGAACTATTCTATCAATTACCAACTAATTTAAAGATGCACCTCATGCAATGATGAGTCCCAAATGAGAAAACGGTTTCTTGTATCATAGAACAAAATATAAATATCCTTATCTTCCTCGTTTGGAACATGAAAATTCATCAAATAAAGACGCTTTTTATCATCTTTAAATTTGATTTTATAAATTTACCAATTAACTATGTGCCACTCAGAAGAAAAATGCACTCATTATGCATATGTATCTTTCTCAGAATGTGAAAGTTTGCTGTTTTTGTTTCTAATTGCATGAATGAATTTTGTCTTTTAGATAACTCCCAAACTTAAACTTCCATCTCAAATATTCAAGAGATTTCATCCACTTACTCAATCTCAAATTACAATATTTTATTTTTTTAAAGTCTAATATTCTATCATATTTTTCACATCGCTTATCAAACGATTTAACTTATAAGTACTTAATGTGTGCACGAAAATTTGTTGTAAGAAGATTTTTTATATGTTTTTTCTCTTTTTCTTTTTCTTCTTCTTTTTTTGGGTTGAGCTGCCTAAGGCTTTCTAAATTACTTTATATAATGAGCTTCCACTTATGACTACCAAACCAATTCAGTTTAGGACACTAGGTGAAAAGATTGGCTTTAACTGTCCCTGGATTCATAATCTAAAAGTGCCAAGAAACGATCGTTTCAAGTTTTTCATTTCAGTTACTGTGTTATTTTCTGATAATAATGAGATGATTAATCAGTTGCCGCTAATTACTATCTATAATGAACAAATAACTTGAAGAAAACTGAAGAAAAGACAGTTTTGAGAACACTGAATTGTATTTACTCCGTTATTCCGTACAAGACATCAGAGAATATATATATATATCAATACAAATGTAAATTCAGATCCTCAACATATAATTAGTTTGCCATTGGTGGACTCCAATCAAAAGTCCCAAAGTAAGCAGAGTAAGATTGGACTGGACCTCATAGAATGTGTAATGGATCTCTTGACGTGGGACCTTGACCCGTTGTTTATGACGCAATAAGAACAAAAAATATAAAGTTAATTGATGCTACATCCTTGAACAATTAAGAACAGAATCCTACTATATTAAGGAATAGTCAAGTCAATTCCTACTAAGAAGTGCTTTGATGGGAATCAAGATGACCCACATGTACCACGTCAAGAGATCCATTACACATTTCAGGAGGTCCAATCACGAGAACTAGAGCTAGGAAGATGTGAGAAGCTGCAATAGTGCCAAGAAAAATAAAACAAGAACAAGTTTCACTTAACTAGAAGAACAATATTCATTCTAAAACTCTATTATAAGCTGCCAACTAAAAGGCAAAACTTTTTATCAAGAAAATGACATTGAAAGAATTTACTAGAACCCATGATCATAATCTCCATATAGAGATTGAATATACAATACAAACATAATCAAAAAGAAAGAGAAAGAACATGGGTTTATCAGAATTCACATTGCTTCCTTTCCAAACTTGATAAAGCCGCTTGGATTTATCCCTTTTATTCTGGGTTATAGCTCCACCTGAAGGAGATCCAGGTTTCTCCTAACCATAATGAATCAATAAACTTGATAAACCCAAGTTTCTTATTCCAATTCCCAACCCATAATGCAACCAAGGCGTCTCCTTTCCTCCACAGATGATCCAGGAATGAATCAATAAACAACAATTCAACCCATAAATGATATCAAAATCATAAATTGCTTGAGATTATAGAAGATACAATGAAGAGCGACACCCAGAGAAGAAGAGAGGAAGACGTTTTTAGATAAAAAAAAAAAAAAAAAAAAACCAGCTGATCCGCTTCTCACAAAAATTTCTGTAATTAAAAGTTAAAAAACAAACGGATTATACCGA